CAGTTAGTGTGACACATGGGCTTTGTTAAGGGCTTCGCTTCATTAGTCTGCACTGGATAGCAGAGAGGGCGTCTGTTGGCACTTGATAAATGTTATAATCTGCATGACTGCAGATGACTCAAACTTTGCTCAACTTTTTGAAGGGCTAGAGGGTCTTGGCAGCTTTCCACTTTGATATTTTCTGAAAATTGACTATTGGCAGCTAAAGGAGTCCCAGGGTTTCTGGGTGCTAGCTCCTGCCAGTGGAGGGAATGAGCTTAGGGCCATAGGCGGGACTCTAGAGCTCCGCCTCCAGCCTGCCCCTGCTGCCTAATTCCTGGCTGGGTCAGCCTCTGTCTGCAGAAGCTGGAGTGTAGATGCTGTGGATGGTGAGTGCCTTGTTCCCAGGTTTGAACTGGCCATGGTTGGAGATAAGGGACCGTGTGTGGGGGTGGGAAGGCCTTGTGAAGCTCCGAGCTGCAGGTAAGAAATGGGAGAGGAGAGAGTAGAGTTAAGGTAAGGATTCAAGAATGTGCAAAGTCCAAACTAAGCTGTTTGAGTCACAGGATGTCATTGGGTGCTTTAGGATCTTTAGCATTCACCTTAGCCAACCCCCTCATGTGGAGTTGAGGAAAATGAAGTGAGTGTCAGGGACAGTGGTGGTAAAATCAACCCACTTGGCCTAGGGAGCCCAGCTGGGTCTTCTCCACCCAGCACCATGCTCTTCTCAGACAAGAGCTGCCACTCTGAGCTTCCATAGCTGTTGTTGGTTTGTGGTTTTATCTTGCTTCACCTTCTTGTGTGGGAGAGGACAGATGAGATAAGTCCCACAGTGAGGAACTGAATACTGTAGCTGTGTCAGGTGGGGGCTGGCTCTTGTGTAAAAAACCTTGCTATATTATCTTTCAGAGAAACTGACTTTCCTTAAGGGAAAGGGCTAGCAAGGCAAGGAAAGAGAAGGGACATCTGTCAGACGGTAAATTTCCTTTAGAGTAAACATGGTTTGACTGTATTTGATGACTAAAAAATAAGTTGATCTTTTAAAATTCTCTTTAAGACAAAAAGAATCGTACCCCTTCACCTCCAGAAACCCAAAAATGAATGTGTGGGGAGGCAAGGTATGATAGCAGGAAGACTGCAAGCTTTGGAATCCTAGTGATCTGTGTCCAGGTTGCAGTACTGCTGCCTGCTGACTCTGTGACACTGGAGAAGGTACTGAACTTCAGTGTTGTCAGCTATAAAATGGAATAATCTCTGCATCGTAAGACTGTTGAGTGAATGAAATTAGGCCGTGCATGTCAAATGACACTAAGTAAATACTGGTTTACTGGCATCCCTATCTCACTGGTTAGTAGCCTTAGAGACCCATGTGAAGGTGCATTGTTCCATTTAGATGTTTTCTGTTTGTTTGTTTTGTTTTCTGTGGGTGGGAATAGCTGTGATTCAGGATTCAGAGTCAGCTCTTGCTGTGCAGCAAGTTGCAGTGGTACATGCTCCAAGACATGCCAGGATGCAAATTGCTTTGAAGCTCACGGGGGCTTGGATAAGGGGCTGTACCTACATACTCTACAGGTGTTTCTGAAGTCAATTTTCGCTGCTTCCCACTGGCAGCTGCTAGAGGACCTGGGAGCATATGTTCAGGAAAGGCCTGATTCTCACCTCCGGTGCTAATAAGGCTCTCACATATTAGGGCTGCGAGGTCTGGGGATGAGGGCCACGCTCCCCAAAGGGGTGATTCTCTGCTCACACTTTCTGGATCATAGTCAGAGGTAGAGGTGGGATGGTAAACATTGCTCATGGTGGTTTTAGACCCCGTTTTGTACTCCAGATCTTGAACTTGAGCTAGAATTGGGGGGATTTTGTGTCATGGAAGTTTGCATTCTCAGTGCCTTCAGTACTGAGGTCCACCCCCAGTCAGCCTGCTGCTTCCCAGGTTTATTCAGTCCAGGCCTGACCTAGCTCTTTCATCCTGCCCCCAGGGCTCTACCTAAGCTCTAAAGCCACTTCCTTCTGGGTATTTCTATAGCTGCCCAGAGCAGACGTAATTATCACTCATCCGTGCATTGCCATAGCCCCATATTTATATCTTGGCCAAGCTGCTTCACCTTTCCACCTGAATTTCTGTCATCTATGTACTAGGCCTATATCTCTTTGAGGATTATGTATCATTTAGTTTTATGTCCACCTAACTTGCTGTTTATTGGACAGATCGGTGCTGAATAAATGTTTGGAAATAAAAGCTGGGTCTAGTTGAGTCTGATTCCCTTGTACTCTTGAGAAAACAAGGTAAATGGCTGTTGATGGAGCCTGTTTCCCTCTAAGAATAGCAGTGGTGTGTTGGAAGGATATGGAGCTGACTATAAGGATCGCTGGACTTCTTGAAATCCACAGGTGTGTTCTAGGAGCTGAAGCAATTCCTTTGTAAGATAAATGTAACCTGGCCTCTGACTGATGATGCAGAAATGTTATCAGATCTGTGATCAGAGGTCATGCTTTTTGCTCCCGAATCATACACACATGTCAGAAGTCCAGGGACGTTGTGAAAGTGCTTGAAGGTATAGAAATTGTTCCAAGCTCTGGGGAATCTTTTGTTTACAGCAAGTGGGTGAGACCTGTGGTTTTCCACCTAATGGTTCTGTGAACTATAATCCAGTAATGCGTAACTTTGCCATGTAAAAGAATTGGAAGCCAGCCTGTGGAAGGTTCCTTCCTGCTTGGCCCAAGAACTTTGGTCCTCCATCATCTTCATCATTTAATTCTATTGAATTCATTTTAGCACACATTTGTGGAAAGCCCACTGTATACCAAAGAGACATTGTGCTAGGCATGAGAGAGTCCGAGATAAACTAAGGAACAGTCAAAGAAGAGAAAACTGCTAGATAGGTTCAAATCTTGTATTAGAGGGATTGTGAGTACAATTTGGGCACAGTACCAAGGTGGGGGTAAATGAGCCCCTCTTGGGGTGGGAGCGGGGATAGGCAGAACATCCAGGAAGACTTCTTGAAGAGGTGTCTGAGTTCTGAAGAATAGATTGAATGGGGTAAGACATTCCAGGCAGAGATGCAGATATGTGTTCCAGTCTTCGACTCTCACTGTCACCATCTCTGCCCTCCCACAGTGAGCTGAGGGAACAGAAGTGGGGCCTTGAGGAGGGACTAGCTCTCCAAGGCCGGCTAAGTGCAAAATCCTGAATTCTTGGCTGCAAGACAATGCTTCTTAGACTTTAATGTGCACATCAATTGCCCACCTGATCTGATTAAAATGCAGTTTATGATTCCTTAGTTCCAAGGATTCTGGGTTTCTACATGATGCCAATTCTGCCAGTCCACGAGACCACGTTTTTAATGGTGAAATTATAAGGAACCCCTTTCTCAGCTTGAGTCCCTCACATCAGATACCATAGTAGCATCCCCTTCCCCAGCATATACACCACCTCCCATTCTTTTTCCTTTTCCCTAATACATAGATGTCAAATTCCTCTTTCTTGAATGCTGTTTTAATTTGATCATTCCCCCCACTCACCCTCACCCACCCCTGCCTAGAAGTTCCCTTTGATTTCTTAACTCAGATCTGAACTTCCCAGGCTGTCCTAAACATTAGTCTGGCTAAACCCTTCTCTTATCAAGTCATCTCATGGCAATGGATCCCTCACAGTTCCCTCCCTTGGCACTGACATGCAGATTTCTGTGCTTTTGCTTAATTCTTTGGAGAAATCCTCTCTCCAGCCAAGTCTTGCAGGGGAGAGGTAAGTCTTCAGTTAAGTGGGATAAGATTAGGTGGGATGGACATACGCAGAGACGTACACCAGGTTTATACCTGGTGATCCCAGAACACAGAATCATGCTGATACTTAGGGAAGAAGGTCCCAGTATAAGTCAGATCCTAGGATGGTAAGAGGACCAAATGGAAAGATAGATATTATAAGTGGTTGTTAGTTGAAGGAAGGCTGGATGGGGTACCTGCTGCTGTCAGGGAGGTAGGCTGCTTCCAGGAACTCCCTCCACTCAGAAGCACAAGGCTTCCCACCTAAAGGAAGCCTTAGTGAGGCACCCGTGCATGAGCTCAGAACAAGGCTGGACCGTGTTCTACAGGACCCACGTGGAACTCCATTTTCAGTTGCAGAGACCCCTGCTTGATGCAAACATCTTTTGCTCAACCCCTCTGAAGCAGACACTGTGCTCTTTCTTACATTTGTCTACTCTCTTCCATTCATTCAACAAACATCTATGTAGTTCTGTTTACAGGAAAAAAAAATGTCAGATTAGACACTGATGTTTAATAGTGGCCATTTCTATTAAACTATATAATAGGTGGTAGATGTTTAGATGATACTTGCTTTCTTGTTGACTATGGCTTTATGCATTGCTTCTTTTTGGTTTTCACCATGAACCTGTTTTATTTGTATAGTGAGCGAAAAATAAAGCTATTCTCAGTTGGGAGAAAGGTACTCAGATTGCTTGCCTACCATGAGTGAGGCCCTGCTGGGAACTGTCTGGGGCTGGTTGAATAGGATACGGTCTCTGTGTCTGAGGGATCACAAACTAAAGAGGAAGAAGGATAAGATGACAGAACAGCATGATCAGAACAGGTAAGTATCCTCTGATCACAGAAGAGAAATCTGCCTCCAGGTAGATAGTAGCTAAGACTCCTGGACTGTGAAGGAAAGGCAGGCATTGACTAGTCTGCCAACAGGGGCACAGCATGGATGAGCATTACAGAGCTGGGAGACTATAACCTTGGACATGGGAGAGGGAACAGCAAGAGAAACGTCTGAGAGAGCTATCATTTCTGTCATCACTCCTGACTCACTGGCGAGCGTCTTGGGACAGGAATCTCCATGTATCTGTTATATCCAAGCTCTTGTAGCGGCAGGTGCTCAGCAGCCCTTGTCCAGTCCCATCTCTGATGCTGCTGCTCCCCCTCCCCTTGCCTCTGGCCTCTGGTTGGCTGCCCAGCTAGAGCCTTGCACTTTGGGAGATTAGATTACTTGAGAGCAGTAACATTGGCTTCCTTCCTCTCAGTCTCCAGAAATGTCTTTCCTCCAGGATCCAAGTTCCTTCACCATGGGGATGTGGTCGATTGGTGCGGGGGCCCTGGGGGCTGCTGCCCTGGCACTGGTCCTGGCCAACACAGACATATTTCTGTCCAAGCCTCTGCAAGCAACCCTGGAGTATCTGGAGGAAATAGACCTGAAAACACTGGAGAAGGGTAAGCAGTGACCCTGTTGGTCTCAGTACTTTTCCAAGGTGCTGGGATGCAGGCTTGCTTATTTTTTTTTCTTTGTAAAATAGCTCTTTTTTTTTTTTTTTAATTGAAAAGGTACTATATCAACATTAGGAAAATTTTAATAACACTTTCCAAATTACTGATAATTTCATTACCCTAACACAATAATCTTTTATTTTTATACATTCTTTTGCATGTTTACATATTATTTTATAGTTGCGACCTTGGTGTATGTGGTATTTTATGTTTTACCTTTTTCTTACCAAAAGCATTTTTCACTTTCATTGTTGTTTCTCTAACTATAATGAGAATTTTTCCATAATATTTAGTAATATCGTTGTACCACTGTTTACTAAACCAACCATTTTCTAGTGTATTCTGAGGAATTCGGACTTCTGCATCTACACAAACTAGGAGCTTGAGAGTCAGATAAGTTTGAGAAATACTGTGTGTCTAATTCCATCTTCCCGATGATCAGCACAGTGATTTGCTCATTGAAAGATCTCTGGATTGTTACTGGTACAGGCATGACCAGCCCTCACCTGTGGTGTGGCTGCAGCACCTGGGGGAGCATGAGGTCTCACTTTAAGAATGAACCTGCCCATCTCGCTCTTCTTGGGGAGCCCCCCTGGAGTACCTGGTGGACAGCTGAGAGCTACACATTTGCATGTAGTCCTCCGTTGCCTCACTGTGCTCTTGGCATTGGATCTGTATCTCAAGGGAACTTCAGTCATGCCAATAGCATGGGTTCAGTTCACATGAGAGTTAGGTGAAAGTTGAGGCTCACTGACAAGGCAGTCTCTAAATTGGCTTCTGAAAGGAAGGCCATTATTGTCTGTTTAGTAAGTGAGGAAGCTTGTAAGGGAAGGCAAGAACTGTGACTGCAATTTATGTTGTAGGTCACCTTAGTAAGGGACTAAGAAGCCCTCCAAAGAGACCTGTTGCACTCCGTTCAACTCAGGGATTCCTGATCTCATCCCCCACTGTGTTTTTCTTCCATGTAACATCCCACAGGGACATGGATTCCTCTGAGAAATATTAAAATAACAAGGGTTCATACTTATTGACCCTTCACTAACTCTGTATTTCCAGACAATGTGGTGAGTGCTTTATATCCATCTGTTAGTGCTTCCTGCAGCCCAAAGTGGAGCTGCTAGACAGCTCACCACTTACAAACAAGGAAACTGAGTTTCAGGGAGAAGACATAGCGTGCCCCAGGCCACACAGCTCGACGCAGACTCAGTCTGACCAGGGAGCCGGGCTTGAGCTGCAGTACTATAGTACTCCACAGCATTTTCTTCTTAAGCATCTTCTACCCTCCCTAATGTATAATATTGCAGTTAATATATTCAGGGTAAAAAAATATTTTTAAATTTATCTTGACTTAGTCTCTTTGAATACTTTTTTAGTAGTTGGGATTTTCTTGGCCAAAGTGCAAGATCTCTTTCAGGTTTTGGCCATGTATCTGCCCTAAAGGATCATTATGATATCCATTGATACCAGCAAAGGAATTTGCCATTTTTCCAGAAATGTTTTAGTTTAGGATGTTCAAGTTTGCAAATTGATTGTTATGGGGGAGGGGTCTTTGAAGTATCCAGTAGGATCCTTATATAATATTGATTTTCTCAAAGGATGGCTGCTCCCTGGCTGTTTCCTGTGTGCTTTCCTTCCATATGAAATGCCTGTTCAGCCCCTTTGCTGGGCCTGGTACCATTTATGAACTGCTGAGGGGTTGGGGCAGCATGGGGCTGGGCAGAGATGATTTTGAATTCCCTATTCTTTTCCCCAGAACCAAGGACCTTCAAAGCAAAGGAGCTCTGGGAAAAGAATGGAGCTGTGATTATGGCTGTGCGGAGGCCAGGCTGTTTTCTCTGTCGAGAGGTGAGCACATTTGAAAGTCTGTTCAGAACAAACAATCTTAGTAAGTGGGGGCCAGTGCATTTCCAGCCAGGACCAAGGACCTGTAGGCCCTCTTTAGCCTTCGATCAACACTAGTCCATTCTCTGTTATTTGCTCTAGGTATTTCTTTTGATTTATTCTCTATTTCTGTTCATTTAACAACTCACTATATCCTGGAGTTTAGCAACATACTTGACTTTCCTTTGTTACTCTCAAGGCCTTTCACTCTTGTACTATTTCCTGAACCATCTAACCATTTAATCAAGGATGAGGAATAGGTCCAGTTTTGCTCCTGATGCTCATAACAAGGATTCGCTCATGGATTGTTACTGGTGCAGGCATGGCTAGCCCTCGCCTGTGGTGCAGCTGCAGCACATGGGCAGCATAAGGTCACACTTTTAGAATGGACCTACCTGTCTCGCTCTTCTTGGGGAGGCTCCCTGGAGTCCCTGGTGGACAGCTGAGAGCCACACATTTGCATGTGGTCTTCCGCTGTCTAACTGTGTGCTCTCAGCGTTGGATCTGTAGCTCCGTGGGATTTCAGTCATGCCGTTAGTGTGGGTGTAGTTGGCATGAGAGTTTGGCACAGGTTGGGGCTCACTGACTGGGCAGTCTCCGGGTTGGCCCCTCAAAGGGAAACCATCGTCTTCTGTTCAGTAAGTAAGGGAACTTGTGAGAGGAAGGCTTGGTTCAGCCTTGTCACTTTATAGATAGGTAAACTGAGGACCAAAGTGGTTTGGTCACACAGTGGGTGGCAGAAGATCCAGGTTCTGAGATCACTGCCTTGCCTAGAGAAGAACTGGGAATGACAGTACTACTCTTGAAACAGCTTTGCTTCTCAAGTAGTGGCCTTAGCCCCATCCAAGTTGTCATCCTCATTACTCTGGTTATCCTCCCTGACCCTGACGCATTTCCTTTTAGCCTTGCAGATCTCTCCCCTGCTTGTGTGGTTGGGCTTGCAAAGCAGCTGCATACATGACATGATGCCCTGCTGTAACATATTCAGGGCATTTTTATGCCTGTTATCTCATTGGTTCCTCACCGTATCCCTGGAAAATAGAGCTTGTTGTTATTATTCTTGTTTTATAGAGGAGGAAAGTCTTGTGCAGAAGTGGTGACAAAATCACACTGCTGCGGGTAGATGTATTAATTTCCTATTACTGCTGTTACAACTATTACAAACTCTGGTTTTAAACAATACAAATTTATTATCTTACAATTCTAGAAGTCAGAATTCTGAAGTGGGTCTCATTGAGCTAAAATCAAGTTGTCAGCCAGTCTGCATGTCTTTTAGAGGGTATAGGAGATAAATAATTGGCTGGCCCAGCTTCTAGAGGCCATCCACGTTCCTTGGCTCGTGGCCCCTTCCTCCATTTTTAAAGCCAGCAATAGCTGGTCAAGTCTTTCTCACATTGCATCACTATGACACTGCCTCTTCTGTTTGCCTCTGCCACATTTAAGATGCCACATGGGAACCATCCAGATAACACAGATAATGTCCTTTAAGATCAGCTGATTAGCAGCCTAAATTTACTTTGCTGCCTTAATTCCCCTTTGCCATGTAATAGCACATATTCACAGGTTCCTGGGATTAGGACATGGCCATCCTTAAAGGGTATTATTCTGCCTACCACAGGAGGTGAAGTTTAAACTCAGAGCTTTGATTCTGAATCTGTGATGCCTTCAAATACCAACATAGAAGCCTGCTGTGACTTGATTTCTCAAGGCCAAGTTAAACTCATAAGGTTCCAAGAAGAACAGCTCTAGTTACAACATGTTTTCCAGTGCTTAGGTCTCTGTCTTGGCAGAGCATTTTGTGGAAACTTATGAATCTAAAAGAATGATTGGATGAGTGATCATTCTATTTCGAATATCCTAGGGAGGAGGTGTATGACTTAGTGTTCACTTAATGGCTTTGTACAGTAACATACTTAGAAGAAAGAGCCCAGGAAGTGAGTAAAACCTTTCATGTCACATACAGAGTACCTTTGACCACATCAAGCCTATAGTCCTCTCTATTCTAGAGCAAAGTTTGCCACTCACTGAAGCTTTTGATAAAAGCATTATAATGAATTTTGCTTCATTACCAGCCCTTTTTTTATTCTAGAAAATAAATGAAAAATGTAGTTACCACTGTACAGCAGTGTATTTGTATTGGAGGCAAGTGGGCTGCATTTGAAAGGATTTCCTGCTGTTTCTTTAATTCTGACACCGAATGTGAAAAAGGATTTCTGTACTTCTCGGCTCAGCTGCAGTCTCCCTATTTTCCACTTTCACCTTCAAATCTTTCCACCTGGTACCTGGTACCTTCTATATATCCAACCATGTGCTAGGCACTGAGTGATACAAGAAATGGAAGACATAGTTTCTAACTATGAGACATATTTGGGAACTTAAGGGACAGTGCTCAACTTCTTGATAGCACACAGACTCAGTACAGAAAAAGTCACCAAGCAAGGAAGATTGGATATGCACAGAAAATCAGAGCTTTATTCCAGGCTACACTTACACTAGCCAGGGAGAATTTTATAGAACAGGATTCCCTTTCTGCAGGGTAGGATTTGAGCTAGAAAAAGAAGGAAGGTTACTGCAGTGAGAAGATGCCAACTAAGCAAAGGTGTGGAGGCAGCTATTCACATGGCTTGCGTGGAGTTTGTCTGGTAGGCCCTTGTACTAGTTTGGCCTAGTGCAGAGGAGGGGCTAGGAGATGAGGTCAGAGAGAAGCATCGTTGCTAGGAGTAGGAGACCATGTTTGGGTACAATCTCTTAGTTATTGGATGCTCCCCAGGCCACGGTTAGGACATCCATAACAGGAGTCTAGCCTCCCCTTCCTACCTTGGAGAAGAGAAGCCTGGGCTGACCTGACACCCTGTACTGAGGCCTGGTGCCCACTGGGACAGTCCTTTGTTGGGCAACATAGCCTTAATTATTTCGGGCATTTTGCTGCCTTTGTTATTCTGCATTCAGTACCAGCCACGCTCTGGGCCTATAGGAAAGAGGCTGTTGGTTGGCTGAAGAGCCATAGGAGTTTGTGCCCCTGACCATCCCTGTTTTCTGCAGGAGGCTGCGGACCTGTCCTCCCTGAAGCCCAAGTTGGACGAGCTGGGTGTCCCCCTCTATGCAGTGGTAAAGGAGCAGATCAGGACCGAAGTGAAGGACTTCCAGCCTTATTTCAAAGGAGAAATCTTCCTGGACGAAAAGGTGCATGTTCTGTGAGCCCGTCAGACACAGACTGTTGCAGATTGTGCTCAGGTGTTCATTCAGGTGTCAGGCCTGAAGCTGGATATTGGCATCCCTTTCAGCTGCCCTGAACCTGCAGGGGCTTTCCCAGCCCTCTGAGCAGAGCATACTTTGACACTGAATAGCTGTCCTCTCACTTATTACTTGAGCCCTTGCTAAACCGTCACCTGGGAATGGGAGTCTAGGAAATAGCTGAAACTCCTTCAGTGTTCCCTCACAATGCAGGTGGATGCCCAGCATAAGCCCCTGTTCCTTAATTCATTGCAGCCATATTTCGTTCCCCTCTACTCTCACTTCTGTAGAACATAGAACTGTAATCACCCTGTCAGGCATGAGAACCCTGTTTGTGTCTAGCAACAGGTTAGAGCCAGAGCTGAAAGCTGCACATCTGTTTCCTTAGGCCAGGGCTGCATTAAGGTCGGAACCTGTGTCCTCGGGCAATTGAAACTGCTCCTGGGATGGCGGGCGGCTGTGGATGACTGTGTGCGTGTTGGGTCAGGGGAGGATACAAACCAGTAGGCTTTGGGACTTTGT